TCTCTGCTGCTTTGCATTCTAGGTATTAGCTTTATCCTTTCTCATGATGGGACTGTCTTTTGGTGTGAAGGAGAGACAATCTTTGGCAGACCATTTTACTGTCAGAAAGCCTTTTCTCAGTGCATTTCCTGGGATCCTTCCATTTCTATTGTGAAATGCTAAGCCAAACATGGAAGCTGTTTGTACTTTGTGCTCTATAAATCTGACAGTAAACTCCTGCTTCCTGAATCCATTAGTTGAACAGAGAAACAGCCACCCTGCATCTGGATCAACTCAACTCAAAAACCAATATAAAATACAGCACATTCCAAATTAAAGAGAAGATGACAAACCATCTTCAAACATACCACCCTTCCAAGTAAAAACAGTTAAGTTAGTAGAAACCCTGGTTAGCAGCTTCAGCATCACATTCATTCAAGAGTCCTCAAAACCTAACAGTGCTTGTGTCTTGTCAATGATTAAACAAATGCATAACTAGAACACCAGAACACTATACTTTAACTTATATCACATGATACTGTACTTGAGAGCTTGAAAACCTATACATAATTTAAAGTATTCTCAGGCAAAAATATGTTTTATTTTGACTTGAACGTGAAGCAGATTTTGCTTTCCAAGCCCCAAGCTGATTATACTAATCAAGAAACAAGGACACTGACAGTTATGGTCCTAAATAGAATCTGGAAATTGGGGAGATAAACTAATCATTCAGAAAATAACAGCTCAACAGCTTTTAAAAAAGCAAACCAAAGATATTCTGGGATAGTTTCATTAACAAAACAAGGATTTTTTCTTTTTCAAAACACAACCACATCACAATAGGTTTACAAAATAAGACCTAAAAAACTTGAACTTATCATTACAATTCATGTTTCTCCTCACCTTTTTTTTTTTTTTGCCATGTCATTTACAGGATGCCAATGTCTCAATTCATCAAATAATAAATGCATTTAAATAAACCTTAAATTAACTAATTTTTTTTAATTCTACTGTCCACAGGAGTTAC